CAGGGGCGGTCATGATAGCTTGCGGTTTGTGGGAAGTGGTTTTCCAGTTCTTGCCCATATCCAGTTTCCAGACATGCTCCAGGACTTCGCTGTGCACCTGGCTTGGGGGAAATGGAGCGACACAGTCCTGCTTTCTTCCTAAATGGAATTTCTCTGCATCATCCACAGCTGGTTACAATCGTAGCTTTTGTCCGATCCCTACGTGAGATTCCAGATTTGATGAGGATTGTATAAGAGGTCAGTTATCATAACAATCAAGGCTATGAATGGCAACATAACATGGATTTGTTCCTCCGCTCTCAGAATGAAAGCAACAACTGGAAAGCTTTCAAGACAAGCGGTGCCCTAAATGTCAAATCAAGCAGACTTTGTTTACACAGACCAAGGCCATGTCTACCATTCAAGCAAGAACTGAAATGAATATAAGCTGCTTCTTTCTTGATTCAGAGGGTTAGCCATACTCTATGTCTTAGGTCAACCTTAAAACCCACTTTTAATAAGTTGTTCAAACAGCCACCGCTGAAAAGATATATTCATCCTTTCTTAAGGTCACTCTGGGGTCTCTCTCCTTTCTAATTATTTTTTTTTCAAAAAAGCTTTATTTCTGATTGGTATTATCTATGTTTATTTCTTTCCTATCTGTTGAACCTGGTACTTGCAAGGTTAAAGCTTCATAAACTGAATTCCGATTGCTGGACTGCGAAATGCACATTTCAGAGAAAACCCAACCTTGGGCCTCCAGATGGTCTTGGACTACAACTCCCAGAAACCTTCACCACCACCTCTGCTGGCCAGGATTTCTGGGAGTTGAAGTTCAAGAACATCTGGAGGCCCAAGGTTGGGGATCACTGTCATGTGGCTTTGACCACATACTGTGCTTATGGGTTGTCCCTTACTTATTCAAAGTATCTTTGCCTTGCTCTTCAATGAAAAGGATCTGTAAGGTGGTATGCACAAGATTCGTCATGTTTTTGCTTGCAGGTTTTACAAGCAAAGAGACACAACATAAAAGGAAGGAGGACAAGGAGGGAAGAGGAAAACATGCAAACTTAGGCATAAATTTTCAAAGCTACCTTGTAGTTCTTATATAATGGCCACCTGTTAGTTCAGGGAGGAGCTTGAACTCTTAGCAGAGCCGATGGTGTAGCCTTGTTTCCCATTCTCGTTCTACTTCATCTTCACAGAATTGCGCTTAACTAACTGCTGGAGAGATGGGGGAGCTTGATGGAAATGTCTCTCTGCATAGGAAGCTGCTTTATATTGGATAGCTTTTCGGATAGGCTATTGGTCCATTCAGCAATTAATGTTTTTAATCTGTGACCACCATCAACTTTCCAGTGTTTCAAGTGGGATGTTTTCCAATCAGTGGAGGCTGGTGATTCTGTAACAGAGGTACCAAATCAACTCTTGGTTTTATCCCAAACTTTAAAAGAGCTATCACGCACACCGAGACTTCCTTGCATTGAGATAGCCTTCAGAACCTTCATTTGCTCCTGTAAGGTTCGGACTGAAACCCAGATAGCATTCACACACGCACACACATGAAATTGGAATCAGCAGTCTTCACAGTCTCTAAGCCTCACCTGGGATTCAGTCATGAAATTGGAATCAACAGTCTTCACAGTCTCTAAGCCTCACCTGGAAAAGGTGGGGATTGTGCTTGGCATCCTTGCCAGTCTAAGCCCCTCCTGGACCACAGCCCTTCCTCAATACAGGAGCCAAATACTAGCCAAGTGTCTGAAATCAGACGTTTGGGCGCCTTAAGAGCATGGAGTTTCCCTACTTCTCATTTCTCGTCCTATTGCAGTCTGTGGAAAGGAAATGCTGATAGAATGATACCCCCCGCCCTCTCTGTTGCAGCCTGATGAAAGGGCTTTTGCTAGCTGACATGTTGCTGTACACTGCAGTTGTGTACAAGAGTGTCAGTGATTTCATCTCTGAAACACTGTAAGGTTAGAAGGAGAAATTGTATGCCTATTCAATAATGCAGGCGCTGTGTCTAGGTTATTTAGACTTTGCATTTTAATATTTTAATTGCAGACCTGGAAGAAAAAAAAGTGAACTAATGGTTCATTAACGTAAGACATTTAATTTCTTCTTATGTATGGCTGTTATCAGTTTTCAGGTCATGCCTGCTAGTGGTTGAACTTAACCTTTCTCGAAACCTTACATAAGAAAGGTTTAGGAATGGAAATTTAGCAGAACTGTGCAAAACGCCTTTGAAATATGGTTTCATTTCCTTGGTTCAAGTGACCACAGTGTAATTAAATTTGATATGTTATGATTTGGAAATTAGTCCACAAAGCCTAAATTTGAAGGGATTTGAGAGACGCTTAAAGAAAAATAATTAAGAGGTAGAAAGAACTGTTAAAGAGGAGTGGTTCGAAGTTCCTACTAATGGAAACAGTACTTTTGTACATCAACCGTGTGAAACATAGGTTTATCGAGAAGAAAATTCTGTTAGGTCATCAGGATCAGAGCTCTCATCAGTGGTGTGTTTGGGTCTGTTGCTTAAAAAGTTTAGAAATTGTGCACGGGGTAAGACAGCGGACAAGCAAAATAATTCAATACAAAAGGTGAAAACAAGAGAGTATGAAGCATTTTTGTGATATAAAAGTGGGACTGATGAGTTCCTGAAAAGTTAGTTTATAGGACTGCCTCGAAGTGAGAATTAAACTTGACTTTGACACCACCCCATAATTCCTATTTTATACATTTAACTGCAGGGCTGGTGAATGAGAGTTGGAAAGTGGAAAGGTGAGCACAAACGCTGTTCAGTGTTTTATTCAAGCACAACATTGCAATGGTTTAATAGGTCACGTGGGTGACGAGACAGCCTTTCTATTATTCATCATGGAAGGCATATCCTGTAGGGGAAAGGGAAGAAGCACTGAACAAGCAGATCCGAATGAATCCAGTGTATAGGCCATTATTTACATCTCCTTGTTTATATCCACATCGGGGATATAAACCATTAATTTTTAACTGGACTTCCTCGTGTTACTCTTTTCTTCTCAGTAGGGAAGGTTCTGCTATTGTTATTGCTGTTATAATTATGCAAGTTATTTGTTGTGCCATGCGTTATTACCACATTGAATTAATATAACCAACAAGCCAGAAAAATACCGGGCAAATACTTCTGGTTCCTCTAAGGGCCAATTCTGGTATTTCACGTTGGAAATGTTTATTTTAAAAAAATGATAAATAAGAGGATGACAGAAAACTTGAACATGTCCTCTCAGGAGGCCTCTAAAATGCCTTAAAAGACTCTTTAAGGTAATGTTGGAAAATAACTAGGTATTTTTACACCTAAGTAACAAAAAGCCATTGAAACAGTAATGAGTTACAGGTAGTTACATTACTTGTGGCTTGTTAATTCCAAACTCTGTGTATTGTTTTAATTTTCCTTTTAAGAGTTAGGACTTCTTCTTTTTTTGCATTTTTGTGTGTGTTGAGTTCTGTACAATCAGCTTCCGTGGGTGGAACTGCTAACAGGAAGGAAGATGGTCTCATTCTTAAAATTGGAAACTGGCTGCTTATGTTCTACTGTTCATTGAGCAAAATCCTGTTGGCAGAACCTTTTTTGTGCCAACATACCCCAAATGGGGTAGTGCAACCATTGAAAACCTTCCTGTCTCCTAGGAGGTCTCCACAAGGTTCCCATTTGCTCTGGGGAAGCCTTTTGGAGCCTTGGCATGGGGTGGTGGTGGGGGAGACTTTAATATCTGAAAATCTCTGATGCCACCAATGCCAGTCCTACCACAGGGATTAGGATAACCTGTGATAGTTTTAGAGTATTAAAGCCCATTGCCCGCATTAGATTTAGATTAGGCATCCTTCAGTCCCGAGAAACTATGGTAATGTGCTCTGTATGGAGGACTTGAAACAGCATTTAGTGTGGATGAGAAGGCCAATTCAAGAGTGACCATCTCTTCCACCCTGAAGACAAATACCATCAGTCCCCTGTCCAGCTCCTTGATTTTGCTGGTTTCTGGACTGCCTCTTTGCCTCGGCATGCTGAACAAGGGTCTCTTCAAATTGGGAGAGGCGGTGATGCACCGCCTGCCTCCAGGCTGAACGCTCGGATGTCAGGGTTTCCCATCTGTTGAGGTCCATTCCTAAAGCCTTCAGACCCTGCTTGCAGATCTCCTTGTATCGCAGCTGTGGTCTCCCTCTGGGGCGATTTCCCTGCACTAATTCTCCATACAGAAGATCTTTTGGAATCCGACCATCAGCCATTCTCATGACATGTCCAAGCCAATGTAGACATCGCCGTGGCCCATGAAAGTACATTTCAATTGGTTTTATTCAGTTGTTTTGTCAGTGTTTCACCGGCCTGGCTTTACATTCTTGTTCCTTGCATTTTATTGTGTTTGCACTATTTCTTGATCACTGCACAGTGGAAAGGCGAGATGCAAAATTAATCTTGAAGCGTGTACTTAAATGCATATTTTATTTAGAGGCGTATTATGCTAATGCATTTTCCTACTCTTTTTTTAGCTGAGAAATAACATTGAGAGAAGTGCAAAGTCTGAAAGATAATTACACTCAGTCCGTGTCTTAATACAGGAGGTGCAGATCAAGATAGTTCACTTAAAAATTTGCAACGATCAAATTTCTTAAGGGTCCTTAAGGTGTGGTCCACTTGGGGTGGTAGAATACTAAATCATACCCCTTCAGATCAAAGATGGATGGGTGATATTTTTCAGTGCTTGCTTGTGATGTTAGAATACCACTGGCATGTTGACAGGCTGGATCTGCAGTTCTGTCATCTGATAGTCAGTCAGGGAGACGGCTCCCCTAAATTTCTTTTTTCTTACGTGCCACTTTCCAAATGACATTTTACAGGCTCAGATGGTATAGTGCAAAACTCTGCCACCTCATTTCTGATCCATGCGTAAATTAGCTAATGTTTATTTCATTGTAAAGTTTGCAACGCAAACTGTGTCTCGAGTTTTCTTTCACCACCGATCTCCTTATCATATTCTCTTCTCTTTCAGTGGATGGCTGCATCGACTGGTTGGTGGATCTCAAGAAATACATGGCCCTGGCAGGTGAGCCGGTCCGAGTGAAGTGCGCCCTTTTCTACAGTTACATTCGGACGAACTACAGCATGGCTCAGAGTACAGGCCTCCGGCTGATGTGGTACAAGAACAAAGGTGACTTGGAAGAACCGATTATTTTCTCGGAAGTCAGGATGAGCAAAGATGAAGACTCAATATGGTTCCATGCGGCGGAGGTTCAAGACAGTGGATTCTACACCTGCGTGCTAAGGTGTGTATTCCGTTGAGCTGCAGCTAGAATCATCCTGTTCAAGGATAATTCACCTGCTTCTCTCCACCACACATTTCCTAGCCCAGAGTGGGCAACACAGCCTCTTTCAGTGAAGGAAGGGCAGTAAGGTGATTTGAGTCTCCGCCTCCTCTTCTGGCCAAACAAGACCTGGAATGGTCTTTTTTGTTGTGTGGCTGTCATCCTTGCATTTTTCTGTGGTATAATCATGAGCGTTTTGCCCATCATTTGAATTGTCTTCTAAAATTTGAATAAGATCTTCCTCAGTGTGCTTTTCTTGGCCATAGACCGGTTTCTCCCTTTCTGTCTCCCTTGCATACTCACTTATCAGGGGTAGTGGGTGTGCTAAATTTTGGAAGTACCTAACGACTGTTATACCTCTCACAGCTAGATCCTTTCTTCAGTAAGGCAATTTGAACCAAGCCTTGCCTCCGAGGGTGGGGTGGGGGGTCACCTCAACCTAAAGATAAAGCTAAATATTGTCTTTCACTGTTTTCAGCCACCTTGGTTCCTCATCAAGGAGAACGGCGGGGATAAAATAAAATAAAATAAGATTATTCTGTCATGCATTTTGCGAGTTGAAAAAAAAAGTGACATTCTTTACATTAAGTTATTATTTTTTTTACCCCCTTCTCAAATCAGGGCTAAGAATGCCAGATAGCATCGGCCTCATCTGAGCTTTCAGGGAACATGGAGTATCATGTGGCCTCTGGATCATATGTGATCCTCCAAAAGCTTTTCCCCTCAGGACCCATTTAAAATGCTTTGTTTTATAATAAGAATATTAATAGTAGTAGCAGTGGTCTTAGAACAACAGAGCTGGAAGGGACCCTATGGATCTCGGAGTCCAGCCTCTGCCAAGGAGGCATAGTGGGGGAATTGAACCCCCAGCCTCTGGTGCCTCAGCCATATATGCCTTCCCACTGGAATAAAAGGCAGCTGTGTAGTCATTACAAAATGCAAATGATTTCTTTAGTGCAGGCAATACCTTTTAGACCACTAAAAAAAATCATGATACAAACTATAAGCTTTTGTGTATCAGCACCATGTCAGGTGTGTATGAAGAATTTAAAGTCCAAGAATTCATGGCAAGATGGATTTTGCCAGAATAATTACTCTTGGATGGAAAGTCCAAAGGTTCTTGGCAAAATAGATTTCACCTGGTACGTCTTTCTTACAGGTAAGTCAGGAAAGAAGCAGGCTGCATTAGGCTGTACAGTGGTGCCTTGCTTAACGATTGCCTCGCTTAATGAGGAAATTGCTGTACAATTAGATTTTTGCGATTGCTTTTGCAATTGCAAAACGATGATTTAAATGGGGTTTTCTGCTTTGCAATGATCGGTTCCCTGCTTCGTTTCAAAATGGCCACCGGCTGAAGAAAATGCCCCCCCCCCGCTGTTTCCTAGGATGGATTCCTCGCTTTACAGGCACCGAAAATGGCTGCCGTATAGAGGATCTTTGCTGGGCGAGGAGGTATTCAGCCCATTGGAACACATTGAAGGGGTTTCAATGCGTTTCAATTGGTTTTTTTATTTCATTTTACGATGTTTTCACTCTACAACGATTTTGCTGGAACGAATTAACGTCGTCAAGCGAGGCATCACTGTAGTTTTAAAGTCACAGTTGAAGGAGCTATGGATTGGATGTCCCACCCCAGTTCCTCCGACAAAAAAGCAGAGGCCACGTACACACACACACCTCACTAGGTTTACCATTTGGGGTCTGATTAAAGTCAAGAGCCTCGTGGCGCAGTGGTTAAAACGCTGTACTGCAGCTAAAACTGTGCTCACGACCTGGGGTTCAAATCCCAGGTAGCCGGCTCAAGGTTGACTCAGCCTTCCATCCTTCCGAGGTCGGTAAAATGAGTACCCAGCTTGCTGGTGGGGCAATGTGTAGCCTTTATAATTAAAATTGTAAACCGCCCGGAGAGTGCTTGTAGCGCTATGGGGCGGTATATAAGTCCAATAAATAAATAAATAAATACATTTTGATTTGTTTTGTTTAAAAACGTTTTTTTTAAAATGTCAGTAAAAAGGGAAGGACACCCTTTATGGAATAAGCCAGCATCTGATGTACGGTTAATGTGATTACATCTTTCCTGTGTTCTGCAAGAAGTAACGGCAACCAGCGCTCTTGCAACACACTGGTCCCTCCCGTCACCTAATTGTGAATAATA